TGTTGTCCCTAACTGCTCACCTGCCTGCGGGATCACACCTAACCACTCTGCCTGCCTGCCTGATAGCCCCTAACCACCTCTGCCTCGGCCCCCACCATCACAATTTTGTCCAGAAAGATGTCCGGAAGGTCATTTGGCTGTCTGATTAGCATATTACGCTTTTATTATTATAAATATATAAAGAGGTAATATTCAAATTAGGCTGGGACGCTGTAACGGGTCACGACTGTTTTATTAGATAGGAGGACTAGAAGTCCGGTGCAAGAAATTTGTGCACGGGAGCGGGTAGGGGGGCAGATTCCTCAGCTGGGCCTGCACCCTCTCGCAATCTGGACCGCTGGCTCCTAACCGCTCCCCTGCCTGCCTGCCTACCCCTAACCACTCTGTCTGCTTGTCCCTAACCACTCTGCCTGCTTGATCACCCCTAATCACTCGCCTGACTGCCTGATTGCCCCTAACTGCTTGCCTGCCTGCCTGATTGCCCCTAACCACTCTGCCTGCCTGCCTGTTGTCCCTAACTGCTCACCTGCCTGCGGGATCACACCTAACCACTCTGCCTGCCTGCCTGATCCGTATCGGCCAGTGCTGCACGAGTCAGGTGCAGGTCCCGGCCCACTGCGGGGTGCCTCCTCGCACAGTAGGAGGCGGGGCACCTCCTCTCGTGATTTTAATCGTGTGCTGGGCCTCTAGTATATATATATATGAAGTGAAAGCTGGGACTTTAACAGATATGTGTACACCCATTTCACAGCAGCATTATTCACAATAGCTAAAAGGTGGACACAATTCAAGTCTTCACTGACAGAAGAATGGTTAAATAAAATGTACATACAATGGAATGTCATTCAGCCTTAAGAAGGATGGAAATTTTGACACATGCTACAATATAGATGAATCTTAAAGACATTATTCTAAGTGAAATTAGCCAGTCAAAAAAGGCTAAATATTGTATATTATTTCACCTATTATGGTTCCTAAAATGGTGAATTTTATATCATGTATATTTTACCCCTCAAATAAGAAGGCACAGTGAAGAGCACAATAAAACTTGCTTTGCCTACCTCAAACCCTCCCTTGCCCTGCCCCCCCCAAAAACCCCATAAGCTCTGGAGTCAGGCCACCTGATCGCTCAGGAACTATGTGCTCTTCACAAGTACTTGACATCACTGAGCTTGAGTGTCCTCTTCTGTAAACTGGGGAGAACTCTATCCCAAAGGGTTAATATGAAGGTTAAATGAGATGATACCAGAAAGTCCTTAGAACAGTACCTGCACATATTAGACACTCAATAAATACCAGCTATTATTAGCATAAGTGACCCACTTGCTAAGAAATAAGCAAGCCAGAAGGCCTTGGATGATGTAGTAAGCTTACTCTATTCAGTCACATCATCACCCAAGAGTGGCCTGTGCAATCTTCATTAACTAAAGAAGCCATGCAACAATTACGTATTTGAGCAATTTCCTATAGATAATTTCAGATAGAGAGATCAGTTAATGGCTGAAATTGTCTCAAGTAGTTTAGGAATTACCATAAAAATAGAACAGTGATTCTACAATAAACAAGATGGTAAATTATGAAACATCTTAATTCAAGTTTTTGCAGTCCATTAGCAGTGCAAAGAACCAGGGTGTGTGTTGTCACTCTTTCACTGTTTACCAAATATTTACTAAGTATCTATCATGTAGCAACCATACAAATAAACATACTGAATATATATATGTATATATATAAATAGATACTATATTGCATCTAGGCAATTAAAAAAAACTCCAAAATGTCTTTTTAAATTATAGTGCTTTCTAAGTGTTTCCTATGTTGAGTGTTTTGGATTAAGACTGATTCCTTTATTATAAAGGATATAGAAACTATGGTTGTAAATCTATAGGAAATGAAATGTGGAACAACACTATAGTTATCTAATACAACTGACCTCTTGCTGGCCATTTCCCCAAATTATAACACAAAAATAAAATAAAAAATAGTTATGAAATTCAGTTATGAAAGTACAAAACTAGTGGGGTTGCAAATATCACAAAAGCTGGTAAACTTACAGAACCCAGTGTAATGCAGAAGCAGCAATGATTTTATTCTCAATTCTGACCTTCTAGAGCAGCGGTCACCAACCTTTCAGACCTCACGGACCATCAATGGTCCGCGGACCACCGGTTGGTGACTGCTGTCAATGCAGATGCTGACAGAGCTACTGCTGAGAGAAATATAGTCAAGAAGGCAATACCCAAGCAGTTTAGTACAATGATTTTAAGCTTCTGAATGTGATCTGAACTAGTGAGGGTATTAAGGGTGTAAGGAGGTATCTTAAAGTTCTGCCCACTCTGGCCATCCCCTCCTTCTGCCCCTCTGTACAGAAGTTCTTTAAAGCTCTTTGGGCCCCCAGGCTCCTAGATACCCACCCTGAAAGTCACTGGTCTACAATGAGCCAAATGTCATTAGATACACATCTTTCAAATGATGTTTGCAATTATGTATACACCATATCAGTCAGTTATATTACATAAGCAGTTTAGGAGCCTCCATGTTCAGAGGCATAAAAGAAACAGGTATAAAATTCGAATTTAGAGATTTGGTTTCTCTTTGATGCAATACCAAAGTTTATATGACATCTTTTAACAAACATGGCTAAACATACACCAAAAACCTGTGTGACATATAACTTGATTCAATGAGTATATACTGTCTAAGTGTGCTAATTACAGAAAGCCATTTCCAGTCCATTAAGTACATTTATTTTGACACAAAAAGGACTGTTGTGATATTAACTGTCTCCCACAGCCTGAATGTAAGCTTCATACAGTCCTTGGTTTCAGATTCCACTAAAGGATTACAGGTTACCTTAGTGCATTAATCAGAATCCACTTACATTTTTTTTACAATGGGACAAGGGCCAACTGGATGAGGAGTAATTTCTCAGCTTTTGCCAATACTAACAACTCTTGTGAATAAAT